CATTAGTAAATTATAACCAGTAATTATTTTTTTTTTTCAAAAAAGGGTAAAAGATGGAAATAGAAAAAAGAGGAGGGCCCAGTCGGGCATGGCTCAACGGTTGAGCATCGACCTAGGATCCAGGAGATTGAGGTTCGATTTTGGTCAGGGCACATGCCCAGGTTGTGGGCTAGGCACCCGATCAGTGATGACTCTCTCATCATTGATGTTTCTCTCTCTCTCTCCTGCTCCTTTCCTCTCTCTGAAATCAATAAAGATATATTTTTTTAAAAAGAAGAGGGAACATACCAGGCTATATCACAAATAGTAAGCATAAGGGNTCTCTCTCTCTCCTGCTCCCTTCCTCTCTCTGAAATCAATAAAGATATATATTTTTAAAAAGAAGAGGGAACATACCAGGCTATATCACAAATAATAAGCATAAGGATTGTTTTTAAGAAAACTTTCTTATATAATGCACTTGTGTGTAAGTATATTGGGTTCTGAAGTAAAATGTATTTTCAAACCAGTTTGAAAAATACTCTAACTATTGTAATCTCATTTGGGGGGAAATTCAGTGTAGTTGTACATTTGAAGGGGATTTACTATGAACATGACACAGAGTCATAGTTAAGGGCAAGATTCTGGAGCCAAGTTTATAGTTCAAACCCTAACTCTGCCACTTATTAGGTGTGTGACCTTGGGTAAGTTACTGAGCCTCTCTAGGCCTCATTTCTTTATCTGTTAAATGGGAATGCTAATGATACCTACTGTTTGGGGTTATTATGGTAATTACATGAGTTGTTATTTGTAAAGTGCTTAGAGTAATACCTATCACCTAGTATAAGCAAAAGTGTTACCTTTAGTACAGGACCTGACTTCTCTGGGCTTCATTTATGTTGGTAAATAATCTCTAAAGGCCCTGCTGGCTCCAATAGTCGTAGAAGAGGTGGAGGAGTTCCCGGACAGACTTTGAGGAAAGAAATAGCCAAAGGCAATTCATTCATCCTGTTCAACTGACACCTTTGAGGTCTCAGCCAAGCAGTCTGTTCCAATGAAACATCCTGTAAGCTAACTTGTTATTATCTCTCAAAATCGCCTACAAAGGTGAATTCAGGATGGTGAGAAATTGGCCAAATCAAGGAAAATGATCTTTTTTCCACCCATCAGACCCTTCATAACTAGCATTGGCTTCCTGTCTCTCCCATTGTCACATATTTTATTCCATGTACTGGGAGAACCACAGCTGGGAGTGAACAGGAAACCTGTCCCCATGTTTGTTCTTTGGTTTTTTATTGCCAATGTTCCTTACTGAAGTACAGTGTGTAGCTGCCCACAGTTGGGCCAGTGTTTTTACTGTGGAATCTGAAGCCATATCTAGCACCTACGATCATGGAAAACACACATGAAAAACAAGCCAACAGAAAAATAGGTGAAGTTATGACTACTGACAAATAGAAAAGTAAAAATGGCCAGTAATAGTGTTCCATTCAGCCTCCCTTATAATGAAAGAAATGCCAATCAAGACATTGAGAGATCTTTTCACCCATAAAAGAAGCAAACTAATTAAGGCTAGGAAATAGCCAATGCTCAAAAAGATGTAGGGAAATAGGCATTCTCATATTTAATTGGTGAGTCTAAACTGGTGAAACACCTTTGGAGGACAATTTTGCAATATACTATATCAAAAGAGTAAGTGTACATAACCTTTCACCAGCCCCCAAACTATCAAAGCATTAGCCAAAGCAGCTACCTATCTACAGACTTAAAAATAAAGCCCTATTTAAGTCTCTTGTAGTCCTAGGCACATAAAGTTGTAGTCAGGTGTTCTATTACTTGCAACCAAACACATTCCTAATTGACAAGTTTAAAATGAAAAGGTAAAAGAAGACATCCTTACCGTGCACTGACTTTAATGTGAAGATTTCTATTATTTCCCCATCAAACATGATATTGGCTTTCGGACTGAACTTCACCTCTCATTTTTATCATGATGCAAAAGTGTTTATATTTGGATGCCAAATTTTATCTAGTGGCTCTTCAGCGTCTATAGCAATCTTTCCATTTTTCTTTTTTGATCTGCTCTTGTTGTAATATTCTTTTGATGTGCTGCTGGGATTCTGTGTTAATAGTTTATTTATGGTTTCTAAAATGGTACTTATCAATGAGATTAGTGTACTACTTTTCTTTATTTTCCTCATTTTTAATGAGTTATTCTTATTCGGTTTTTGACAGATACGTTATCATTCCCTTAATAAAAAGAGAATTCCAATCATTGACATTTTTACATCTAAATGACTAGATTTTTATTTCTATATATTGTATTTGCGTGTTTTTTTCAAATTTACGTATTCTTTCTTCATAGTGCCAGGTTCCAGCGTTCTGACTAATTATTTCCAACATAACTATTTTATCATCTCTTCCAAATTGTTCTATTGTCTCAAGTTCTTCAGGGGCTAATCCTCCTGTTTATTGATCCATCCCTCCCTCCCTCGTGTGGTTCATTTCCTACTTTGGTTTGTAATTTCTTATTGTAAACTCATCATCAATGGGAGCTCCTCGTTCTGTGAGAGATCAGAATAGACAACTGGCTTTGCATTTGCTTCTAACAGGACCAAGAGGATTCATCACTTTGGAACCAGCTTTTACATTCTGTGCTGACTTCAGGATTCCCTCAGCACAAGGGTGGTGTCAACTGGGACCTCACACCAATGAATGGCATAGGCAAGCTAGTGGTTTCAGTTTCAATTGCAGACATTTTAAAAAATTCATCCAGAGCCCCAGACAAACCACAAACTTCCTCGTTGTAGCCCTGGCCCACTGGGAGGATTTTTGTTTTGTTTTTTTCCATCCCACAGTCACTAAGAGCCTTTCCAGTGTCCCAGCTCTAAGTAGGGAGTCTCAAGTCCAGATCTCTACCTTTCTAGAACACAAGGCCTGAGTGGGTGCTCACCCCCCAGTCCTTAGCCATTTGGGCTTATATTCCTGGCAAATACCGCTATGTGCCTTAGAGCTCCCTCCTCTTATCTCATACCCAGAGATCTCCCCTTCCTTTCTTTCAACTGTAGACTTTTTCCCCAATATTTCTGCGTTTGAAGGAGAGCTTACCTGACTTCTTGGCCTCTCATGTTCTCAGAAGTTGAGTCCTTTTTATTTTCCTGTCTTTTAAAAAACCCTTTCTAGAGTAATCACAAAGTGCTATGGAAACTACATGGGGGTTGGGGGTCTCTAACCCAGAGGTGGGTGTTCAAGGAAGACTTCCTGAAAGAGAAATCGCCTGAGACCTGAAGACTGAGCAC